AGTTGTAATAAAAATTGGAAGTTTCAGTAGAGACAAAATCTGAAGAGAGAGTGTATAAGAAGTGAACGAGAAAACGGACACTACTTGTATTAATTTGTAGAGTTGTGTCTAAATAAAAACACAAAAGGGAGACAACGTAGGGTTATGTTATAGTCCCTACCTTATTAATAAGACCCTCCAATTTTATTTTGTATGCATTCTTTCGAATTTTATTTCCCTCTTTCCCTTATGGCTTTGTCTCTAACATTGCCATTGTTTCCTACATCCCACATGATATTTGCTTGGGACAATTACAAAAATGCCATTTTTGTATGCATATTTGTAAGAATGTCACTTAAAAATGTTCATTTACAAAAATGCCACTAATTATAGATTTATAAAACATATATCTTAAAATTCTAAACTCTAAAAAATGTTTTGACACCTAAAACCTCCTAAACACTCAAAACTAAACCCTAATAGAACATAATTAACCCAAACATAAATAATATAAAGAAAAAATAATTTTGAAAAAGTGGCATTTTTGTAAAGATTTCAAAAGTGTGGCATTTTTGTATAGTGGTATTTTTTGAAATTTTTCTATTTTTTGGCTTTCACATTAACATTAAAATAAAGTTTTTTTTTAATTATTGTCTTTGATGGATTCATCATTGGTTCAACGATATATAAACTTTTGGGAATTACTAAAATTCTCGGATACTCTTGTGTTCATTTCTCCATTGATGCAAGAATATAATCTTGGACCATTTCGTTACACCGTGCCATATAATTACCTAGAATGGGATTGTAAGAAAAATTTAACCATGGAAATAGTTGGACGTTAGAGTGAAAACATCATGTATTAATCAAAAAAAAAATTAATGTTTGGATTTGATGAGATTTAATGTACTAATAAAAAAGTGTTTAGAGTTTGATGAGATTTATAATATTTATAACTTACGCGGATTGTATATGTTTACGCGGGTATTGTTTTGATCACCAAGGAAAACACTTCATGTGTTTCTGTATTAATTAGTCGTTAATTGTGTATATAATACATATAACCTAGTCACAACAAATCTTCTAAAAGTCATAAGTAAACCTAAAAAATCTATGTAAAAAGCATATATAAGATTTTTTTTCTTATTAATTTAATAAACTCATCCAATAATTTCTCCATTGTGCCCTTAAATAGCCCCTCCATTCCTCCCCACCACCTTCACATCCACAACTTTCTTCAAACATACCAAA